GTGGTGGTGGCCGGACAGATGGTGGTGGTGGCCGGACACAGGGTGGTGGTGGTGGCCGGACACAGGGTGGTGGTGGTGGCCGGACAGAGGGTGGTGGTGGTGGCCGGACAGAGGGTGGTGGTGGCCGGACACAGGGTGGTGGTGGTGGCCGGACAGAGGGTGGTGGTGGTGGCCGGACAGAGGGTGGTGGTGGTGGCCGGACAGAGGGTGGTGGTGGTGGCCGGACAGAGGGTGGTGGTTGTGGCCGGACAGAGGGTGGTGGTGGCCGGAGACAGGGTGGTGGTGGCCGGACAGAGGGTGGTGGTGGCCGGACAGAGGGTGGTGGTGGCCGGACACAGGGTGGTGGTGGCCGGACAGAGGGTGGTGGTGGTGGCCGGACAGAGGGTGGTGGTGGCCGGACACAGGGTGGTGGTGGCCGGACACAGGGTGGTGGTGGCCGGACACAGGGTGGTGGTGGTGGCCGGACAGAGGGTGGTGGTGGTGGCCGGACACAGGGTGGTGGTGGCCGGACAGAGGGTGGTGGTGGCCGGACACAGGGTGGTGGTGGCCGGACACAGGGTGGTGGTGGCCGGACAGAGGGTGGTGGTGGCCGGACACAGGGTGGTGGTGGTGGCCGGACAGAGGGTGGTGGTGGTGGCCGGACAGAGGGTGGTGGTTGTGGCCGGACAGAGGGTGGTGGTGGCCGGACAGATGGTGGTGGTGGCCGGACACAGGGTGGTGGTGGCCGGACACAGGGTGGTGGTGGTGGCCGGACAGAGGGTGGTGGTGGCCGGACAGAGGGTGGTGGTGGTGGCCGGACAGAGGGTGGTGGTGGCCGGACAGAGGGTGGTGGTGGTGGCCGGACAGAGGGTGGTGGTGGCCGGACAGAGGGTGGTGGTGGCCGGACACAGGGTGGTGGTGGTGGCCGGACAGAGGGTGGTGGTGGTGGCCGGACACAGGGTGGTGGTGGCCGGACAGAGGGTGGTGGTGGTGGCCGGACAGATGGTGGTGGTGGCCGGACACAGGGTGGTGGTGGCCGGACAGAGGGTGGTGATGGCCGGACAGAGGGTGGTGGTGGCCGGACAGAGGGTGGTGGTGGTGGCCGGACAGAGGGTGGTGGTGGTGGCCGGACACAGGGTGGTGGTGGCCGGACAGAGGGTGGTGGTGGCCGGACAGAGGGTGGTGGTGATGGCCGGACAGAGGGTGGTGGTGGTGGCCGGACACAGGGTGGTGGTGGCCGGACAGAGGGTGGTGGTGGCCGGACAGAGGGTGGTGGTGGCCGGACAGAGGGTGGTGGTGGCCGGACAGAGGGTGGTGGTGGTGGCCGGACAGAGGGTGGTGGTGGTGGCCGGACAGAGGGTGGTGGTGGAGGCCGGACAGAGGGTGGTGGTGGCCGGACAGAGGGTGGTGGTGGCCGGACAGAGGGTGGTGGTGGTGGCCGGACCGAGGGTGGTGGTGGTGGCCGGACAGAGGGTGGTGGTGGTGGCCGGACAGAGGGTGGTGGTGGTGGCCGGACAGAGGGTGGTGGTGGTGGCCGGACAGAGGGTGGTGGTGGTGGCCGGACAGAGGGTGGTGGTGGCCGGACAGAGGGTGGTGGTGGCCGGACAGAGGGTGGTGGTGGCCGGACAGAGGGTGGTGGTGGCCGGACAGAGGGTGGTGGTGGTGGCCGGACAGAGGGTGGTGGTGGTGGCCGGACAGAGGGTGGTGGTGGTGGCCGGACAGAGGGTGGTGGTGGTGGCCGGACAGAGGGTGGTGGTGGCCGGACAGAGGGTGGTGTTGGTGGCCGGACAGAGGGTGGTGGTGGTGGCCGGACAGAGGGTGGTGGTGGCCGGACAGAGGGTGGTGGTGGTGGCCGGACAGAGGGTGGTGGTGGCCGGACAGAGGGTGGTGGTGGCCGGACAGAGGGTGGTGGTGGCCGGACAGAGGGTGGTGGTGGTGGCCGGACACAGGGTGGTGGTGGCCGGACAGAGGGTGGTGGTGGCCGGACACAGGGTGGTGGTGGCCGGACAGAGGGTGGTGGTGGCCGGACACAGGGTGGTGGTGGCCGGACAGAGGGTGGTGGTGGTGGCCGGACAGAGGGTGGTGGTGGCCGGACACAGGGTGGTGGTGGCCGGACACAGGGTGGTGGTGGCCGGACAGAGGGTGGTGGTGGCCGGACAGAGGGTGGTGGTGGTGGCCGGACAGAGGGTGGTGGTGGCCGGACACAGGGTGGTGGTGGTGGCCGGACACAGGGTGGTGGTGGTGGCCGGACAGAGGGTGGTGGTGGTGGCCGGACAGAGGGTGGTGGTGGCCGGACACAGGGTGGTGGTGGTGGCCGGACAGAGGGTGGTGGTGGTGGCCGGACAGAGGGTGGTGGTGGTGGCCGGACAGAGGGTGGTGGTGGTGGCCGGACAGTGGGTGGTGGTTGTGGCCGGACAGAGGGTGGTGGTGGCCGGACAGAGGGTGGTGGTGGCCGGACAGAGGGTGGTGGTGGCCGGACAGAGGGTGGTGGTGGCCGGACACAGGGTGGTGGTGGCCGGACACAGGGTGGTGGTGGCCGGACACAGGGTGGTGGTGGCCGGACACAGGGTGGTGGTGGTGGCCGGACACAGGGTGGTGGTGGTGGCCGGACAGAGGGTGGTGGTGGTGGCCGGACAGAGGGTGGTGGTGGCCGGACACAGGGTGGTGGTGGTGGCCGGACAGAGGGTGGTGGTGGTGGCCGGACAGAGGGTGGTGGTGGTGGCCGGACAGAGGGTGGTGGTGGTGGCCGGACAGAGGGTGGTGGTTGTGGCCGGACAGAGGGTGGTGGTGGCCGGACAGAGGGTGGTGGTGGCCGGACAGAGGGTGGTGGTGGCCGGACAGAGGGTGGTGGTGGTGGCCGGACAGAGGGTGGTGGTGGCCGGACACAGGGTGGTGGTGGCCGGACTCCGGGTGGTGGTCGCGGGACTCAGGGTGGTGGTGGTGGCCGTGGTGGCCGGACAGAGGGTGGTGGTGGCCGGACACAGGGTGGTGGTGGCCGGACACAGGGTGGTGGTGGCCAGACACAGGGTGGTGGTGGTGGCCGGACAGAGGGTGGTGGTGGTGGCCGGACACAGGGTGGTGGTGGCCGGACAGAGGGTGGTGGTGGCCGGACACAGGGTGGTGGTGGCCGGACACAGGGTGGTGGTGGCCGGACAGAGGGTGGTGGTGGCCGGACACAGGGTGGTGGTGGTGGCCGGACAGAGGGTGGTGGTGGTGGCCGGACAGAGGGTGGTGGTTGTGGCCGGACAGAGGGTGGTGGTGGCCGGACAGATGGTGGTGGTGGCCGGACACAGGGTGGTGGTGGTGGCCGGACAGAGGGTGGTGGTGGTGGCCGGACAGAGGGTGGTGGTAGCCGGACAGAGGGTGGTGGTGGTGGCCGGACAGAGGGTGGTGGTGGCCGGACAGAGGGTGGTGGTGGTGGCCGGACAGAGGGTGGTGGTGGCCGGACAGAGGGTGGTGGTGGCCGGACACAGGGTGGTGGTGGTGGCCGGACAGAGGGTGGTGGTGGTGGCCGGACACAGGGTGGTGGTGGCCGGACAGAGGGTGGTGGTGGTGGCCGGACAGATGGTGGTGGTGGCCGGACACAGGGTGGTGGTGGCCGGACAGAGGGTGGTGATGGCCGGACAGAGGGTGGTGGTGGCCGGACAGAGGGTGGTGGTGGTGGCCGGACAGAGGGTGGTGGTGGTGGCCGGACACAGGGTGGTGGTGGCCGGACAGAGGGTGGTGGTGGCCGGACAGAGGGTGGTGGTGATGGCCGGACAGAGGGTGGTGGTGGTGGCCGGACACAGGGTGGTGGTGGCCGGACAGAGGGTGGTGGTGGCCGGGCAGAGGGTGGTGGTGGCCGGACAGAGGGTGGTGGTGGCCGGACAGAGGGTGGTGGTGGTGGCCGGACAGAGGGTGGTGGTGGTGGCCGGACAGAGGGTGGTGGTGGTGGCCGGACAGAGGGTGGTGGTGGCCGGACAGAGGGTGGTGGTGGCCGGACAGAGGGTGGTGGTGGTGGCCGGACAGAGGGTGGTGGTGGTGGCGGACAGAGGGTGGTGGTGGCCGGACAGAGGGTGGTGGTGGCCGGACAGAGGGTGGTGGTGGCCGGACAGAGGGTGGTGGTGGCCGGACAGAGGGTGGTGGTGGCCGGACAGAGGGTGGTGGTGGTGGCCGGACAGAGGGTGGTGGTGGTGGCCGGACAGAGGGTGGTGGGGGTGGCCGGACAGAGGGTGGTGGTGGTGGCCGGACAGAGGGTGGTGGTGGTGGCCGGACAGAGGGTGGTGGTGGTGGCCGGACAGAGGGTGGTGGTGGCCGGACAGAGGGTGGTGGTGGCCGGACAGAGGGTGGTGGTGGCCGGACAGAGGGTGGTGGTGGCCGGACAGAGGGTGGTGGTGGTGGCCGGACAGAGGGTGGTGGTGGTGGCCGGACAGAGGGTGGTGGTGGTGGCCGGACAGAGGGTGGTGGTGGCCGGACAGAGGGTGGTGGTGGTGGCCGGACAGAGGGTGGTGGTGGTGGCCGGACAGAGGGTGGTGGTGGTGGCCGGACACAGGGTGGTGGTGGCCGGACAGAGGGTGGTGGTGGTGGCCGGACACAGGGTGGTGGTGGCCGGACAGAGGGTGGTGGTGGTGGCCGGACAGAGGGTGGTGGTGGTGGCCGGACAGAGGGTGGTGGTGGTGGCCGGACACAGGGTGGTGGTGGCCGGACAGAGGGTGGTGGTGGCCGGACAGAGGGTGGTGGTGGTGGCCGGACACAGGGTGGTGGTGGCCGGACAGAGGGTGGTGGTGGTGGCCGGACAGAGGGTGGTTGCCACACACCAACACCTGGGAATGATGGCTCCTCTCCAACAAACCTCATGAATGCTCAATATATTTTACATTATCTTGGCGCGGCTGTGTTGTGCTTCAATGGGTGTGTCCCTGTGCGTGCGTGTGCGTGCGCGTGTATGTGTGTGCGTGCGCGTGCACGTGTGTGCGTGTGTGTGTGCGCGCGCGTGTGCGTGTGTGTGTGTGTGTGTACAATTACTCAAGTGTAGTTACAGGATGAGCGCCACGCTCATGGTCGGTTCATTTAGTCATATGATATCTCACCTTATCTTTACATATCTTTTATATATATATATATTATAATCGCCCTGACAGCCAGTCTCCTTGAAGACTGGCTGACAGGACTACCATATTCCCTGGAGATCAGAATCGAGAGGAGATCAGAATTCCCTGGAGATCAGAATCGAGAGGAGATCAGAATTCCCCGGAGATCAGAATCGAGAGGAGATCAGAATTCCCCGGAGATCAGAATCGAGAGATCAGAATTCCCCGGAGATCAGGATCGAGAGGAGATCAGAATTCCCCGGAGATCAGGATCGAGGAGATCAGAATTCCCCGGAGATCAGAACCGAGAGATCAGAATTCCCCGGAGATCAGGATCGAGAGGAGATCAGAATTCCCCGGAGATCAGAATCGAGAGATCAGAATTCCCCGGAGATCAGAATCGAGAGGAGATCACAATTCCCCGGAGATCAGAATCGAGAGATCAGAATTCCCCGATCAGGATCGAGAGGAGATCAGAATTCCCCGGAGATCAGAATCGAGAGATCAGAATTCCCCGGAGATCAGGATCGAGAGGAGATCAGAATTCCCCGGAGATCAGAATTCCCCGGAGATCAGGATCGAGGAGATCAGAATTCCCCGGAGATCAGAACCGAGAGATCAGAATTCCCCGGAGATCAGGATCGAGAGGAGATCAGAATTCCCCGGAGATCAGAATCGAGAGATCAGAATTCCCCGGAGATCAGAATCGAGAGGAGATCACAATTCCCCGGAGATCAGAATCGAGAGATCAGAATTCCCCGATCAGGATCGAGAGGAGATCAGAATTCCCCGGAGATCAGAATCGAGAGATCAGAATTCCCCGGAGATCAGAATCGAGAGGAGATCAGAATTCCCCGGAGATCAGAATCGAGAGGAGATCAGAATTCCCCGGAGATCAGAATCGAGAGGAGATCAGAATCGAGAGGAGATCAGAATTCCCCGGAGATCAGAATCGAGAGGAGATCAGAATCGAGAGGAGATCAGAATTCCCCGGAGATCAGAATCGAGAGGATTCTGACAGCCTCCATAAGCCAAAAGACTAACCTTGACGGAGTATTGGAAGATTTCTGGGGGATTCTGAGGGGATTTCTGGGGGATTCTTAGGGGATTTGTGGGGATTCTAAGGAATAATCTTGTAGGACACCACAAGAATGCTTTCCCCGGCTGACAGACTCGTCTCAGGGGGGAACAAGGCGTTGAATTCCTTCGTCAAGGATGGTTCCGGATAGAACCAAGAGGGTAAAGTAGTTACGACTATACAAGAAGTGTACCACATTTGACAGCCCTCCACACTGTGTACCACACCTGACAGCCCTCCACACTGTGTACCACACCTGACAGCCCTCCCACTGTGTACCACACCTGACAGCCCTCCCACTGTGTACCACACTTGACAGCCCTCCACACTGTGTACCACACCTGACAGCCCTCCACACTGTCTGTGTACCACACTTGACAGCCCTCCACACTGTCTGTGTACCACACTTGACAGCCCTCCACACTGTCTGTGTACCACACTTGACAGCCCTCCACACTGTGTACCACACCTGACAGCCCTCCACACTGTGTACCACACCTGACAGCCCTCCCACTGTGTACCACACCTGACAGCCCTCACACTGTGTACCACACCTGACGGCCCTCCACACTGTGTACCACACCTGACAGCCTCCACACTGTGTACCACACCTGACAGCCTCCACACTGTGTACCACACCTGACAGCCCTCCACACTGTGTACCACACCTGACAGCCCTCCACACTGTGTACCACACCTGACAGCCCTCCACACTGTCTGTGTACCACACCTGACAGCCCTCCACACTGTCTGTGTACCACACCTGACAGCCCTCACACTGTCTGTGTACCACACCTGACAGCCCTCCACACTGTGTACCACACCTGACAGCCCTTCACACTGTGTACCACACCTGACAGCCCTCCACACTGTGTACCACACCTGACAGCCCTCCACACTGTGTACCACACCTGACAGCCCTCCACACTGTGTACCACACCTGACAGCCCTCCCACTGTGTACCACACCTGACAGCGTTTACAACACACAGGTGCATCTATTTACACATACGTGAGCCAACTTACACAGGAGCGCCTCTGGGGTGGCGGAAGTAATGAGCTTACATGAGGAGTCTGTATGGGAGCGAGGGAAGGGAGGGGAAAGGGAGAGAGAACAGATGGAAAGGATGAGGGAGAGATGGAAGGGTTAAGGGAGGGAGGGAGGGGAAATGGAAGGGGAGTAAGGGAGGGAGCACAGATGGAAAGGGGTGAAGGATGTAGTGAATACGGAAAGGGAGAGAGTGGAGAGATGGGAGGGAAAGATGTTGAAGAGAGAGGAGATGGAAGGGGACAATGATACATATAGAAGTATACACATACACGAAAACACATACAAAGAAACAAATACACGGATGCAATAGCAATCGCAGAAACTAGTTTAATCCTATAACAACAAGTTATAGCAGAAGCAGTTCTATAACAACATGGCAGCATCTATATAACAACATGGCAGTTACCACTATAATAGACTAGGCAGTATATATCTATCGCCTGTAGGAATAGACCCAAACTTCTATTCATTGGAGACTTCAATCACGGAAAAATAGACTGGGAGAACACAGACCTGAATGTGGGGACACAGAAACATGGAGAGCTAAACTACTGGACGTTTCAGAGAGGAATTTTGTTAATTAGTGAGTTTCTTGAAACATATTCATATTTATAATTCATCTTAACCAATAAATTATCTAGTTTACGTTAATTTACAGTCAAGAAAATGGACAAACTGGACATGGGGGGACTTAATTGATCATGGAGTGGGAGATTATGAGGGGATGCTGATGTTATCTTGAGATGATTTCGGGTCTTTAGTGTCCCCGCGGCCCGGTCCTGGACCAGGCCTCCACCCCCAGGAAGCAGCCCGTGACAGCTGACTAACTCCCAGGTACCTATTTACTGCTAGGTAACAGGGGCATTCAGGGTGAAAGAAACTTTGCCCATTTGTTTCTGCCTCGTGCGGGAATCGAACCCGCGCCACAGAATTACGAGTCCTGCGCGCTATCCACCAGGCTACGAGGCCCCTTCCCCAGGCTATCCCCAGGCTACGAGGGGATGCTGGTGTGTGTGAGATTATGAAGGGATGCTGATGTGTGTGAGATTATGAGGGGATGCTGGTGTGTGTGAGATTATGAGGGGATGCTGGTGTGTGGGAGATTATGAGGTGATACTAAGCTCTCCTCACACTACCCTGGCCTCCTCCCTAAGTTCCTGTCACGAGTATCTCAGTCACCTCAGATGACGTCAGAGAACACACACACACACACACACACACACACACACACACACACACACACACACACACACACACACACACACACACACACAGGTAAACATCCTTTGTGAGTTATTTCCTGCGTCCTCCCCCCTCACTGTAGCCCTCACCATCACCTGGGGGCTTCACCATAGACTCACCATCATCCGGAGGCTTCACAGAAGCCTCATAGTGCTCTAGAGGCTCTAAACACTGCCCTCTACACCTCCACAGGTCACTTTTCCTCTATGTGGTTTGCGATTTTCTTGCCGCAGAACTAAGAGGCATGAGTTAAGAGGAAAGCTAGACCGCATGCATTACACCTCATGTTATTGGTAGACAGAAGAAGAGTTCAGGGAGGACATGATCACTACATACACATTTTTTTTAGGGGAAGTGACAGGGTAGGTAAGAACTGGTTATTTTTACACTAGTGGTACTCGCACAAGGGGGCTCAGGTGGAGACTGAGTACCCAAATGAGCCACAGAGACATTAGAAACAGCTTTTTCACTGTCAGAGTAGTTCATAAATAGAATGTACTACCTTGAGGTTACCTTGAGGTGCTTCCGGGGCTTAGCGTCCCCGCGGCCCGGTCGTCGACCAGGCCTCCTGGTTGCTGGACTGATCAACCAGGCTGTTAGACGCCGCTGCTCGCAGCCTGACGTATGAGTCACAGCCTGGTTGATCAGGTATCCTTTGGAGGTGCTTATCCAGTTCTCTCTTGAACACTGTGAGGGGTCTGCCAGTTATGCCCCTTATGTGTAGTGGAAGCGTGTTGAACAGTCTCGGGCCTCTGGTGTTGATAGTTCTCTCTTGAACACTGTGAGGGGTCTGCCAGTTATGCCCCTTATGTGTAGTGGAAGCGTGTTGAACAGTCTCGGGCTTCTGATGTTGATAGTTCTCTCTTGAACACTGTGAGGGGTCGGCCAGTTATGTCCCTTATGTGTAGTGGAAGCGTGTTGAACAGTCTCGGGCCTCTGGTGTTGATAGTTCTCTCTTGAACACGGTGAGGGGTCTGCCAGTTATGTCCCTTATGTGTAGTGGAAGCGTGTTGAACAGTCTCGGGCTTCTGATGTTGATAGTTCTCTCTTGAACACTGTGAGGGGTCGGCCAGTTATGTCCCTTATGTGTAGTGGAAGCGTGTTGAACAGTCTCGGGCCTCGGATGTTGATAGTTCTCTCTTGAACACTGTGAGGGGTCGGCCAGTTATGTCCCTTATGTGTAGTGGAAGCGTGTTGAACAGTCTCGGGCTTCTGATGTTGATAGTTCTCTCTTGAACACTGTGAGGGGTCGGCCAGTTATGTCCCTTATGTGTAGTGGAAGCGTGTTGAACAGTCTCGTGCCTCTGATGTTGATAGTTCTCTCTTGAACACTGTGAGGGGTCGGCCAGTTATGTCCCTTATGTGTAGTGGAAGCGTGTTGAACAGTCTCGGGCCTCTGATGTTGATAGTTCTCTCTTGAACACTGTGAGGGGTCGGCCAGTTATGTCCCTTATGTGTAGTGGAAGCGTGTTGAACAGTCTCGGGCCTCTGATGTTGATAGTTCTCTCTTGAACACTGTGAGGGGTCGGCCAGTTATGTCCCTTATGTGTAGTGGAAGCGTGTTGAACAGTCTCGTGCCTCTGATGTTGATAGTTCTCTCTTGAACACTGTGAGGGGTCGGCCAGTTATGTCCCTTATGTGTAGTGGAAGCGTGTTGAACAGTCTCGGGCCTCTGATGTTGATAGTTCTCTCTTGAACACTGTGAGGGGTCGGCCAGTTATGTCCCTTATGTGTAGTGGAAGCGTGTTGAACAGTCTCGGGCCTCTGATGTTGATAGTTCTCTCTTGAACACTGTGAGGGGTCGGCCAGTTATGCCCCTTATGTGTAGTGGAAGCGTGTTGAACAGTCTCGGGCCTCTGATGTTGATAGTTCTCTCTTGAACACTGTGAGGGGTCGGCCAGTTATGTCCCTTATGTGTAGTGGAAGCGTGTTGAACAGTCTCGGGCCTCTGATGTTGATAGTTCTCTCTTGAACACTGTGAGGGGTCGGCCAGTTATGCCCCTTATGTGTAGTGGAAGCGTGTTGAACAGTCTCGGGCCTCTGATGTTGATAGTTCTCTCTTGAACACTGTGAGGGGTCGGCCAGTTATGCCCCTTATGTGTAGTGGAAGCGTGTTGAACAGTCTCGGGCCTCTGGTGTTGATAGAGTTTTCTCTCAGAGTACTAGGCAGTGATGTGGTGGAGGCTGACTTCATACACAGTTTCAAATGTAGATATTATTAGAGCCCAATAGGCTCAGGGATGTGGGAAATTTGACCCACTTTATCAATATTATTATCTAAGAAATATATTATTTCTATATCATATCAAAACTACATCAGAGTCATTATACATATTCTACATCAACTAGATCCTACATGACAATTGTACCATGATCACGTAGGCCTACGTGATATTGTGCATGATTTCTCAAACATCTAGAAGGTTCCAGAACAATGTTTTAATTAAAAACAATTGGAACATCAACTGACTTGATGTTCTGAATGTCCCGTCCTGGACCATTCTCAAGTCGATTGTGAAATCGACTTGAGAATGGTCCAGGACGGACCGAAACGTCGTCCTCCCTTCACCTCCTAGTGTGTGGTCTGGTGAATGTTCCAGGACGGACCGAAACGTCGTCGTCCCTTCACCTTCTAGCGTGTGGTCTGG